GTGCCATGGCATCATAGCTCACAGCAACCTACAGCTCGATGCATCCTCTTGCCTCAGCCTCCCAAGTAGATGGCACTAAAGGCACCCACCACAACGCCCTGCCAATTTTTGTTATTTGCTTTAGGTGGTTTTTTTCTAATTTTAGTGGAAATAGGGTCTCACTTTTGCTCAGAATGGTCTTCAACTCCTGAGCTCACCAATCCACCACGCCTTGGACTCCCAGACTGCTAGGATTACAGGCTTATATCACCTTGAGGGCCACTATTCTTTTTATTTTCCTAAAGTCATAAGAAGTGCAGCTAGGCAGGGCCCACCCCTAGGACCCTTGGTGTTGGGAGTGTTTGACCCCTCAGCTTCCAGGAGTTGGGCACCAGAGAAGGAACATTCCAGGACTCTAGTCTCTTCTCCACAGGGATGTGGTCCATCAGCACAGGGCTGCTGTCTTGGCGCTGCTCTTGGCCAACAGTGAGGTGTTTCTGATCAAGCAGCAGAGAGCAGCTCTGGAGTGTCTAGAGGAGATATACCCAAAAACACTGGAGAAGGAACCAAGAAATTTCAAAGCAAAGGAACTGTGAGAAAAGAATAGAGCTGTGATTGTGGCTAGGCAGAGGACAGGCTATTTCCTCTTTTGAGAGGAGACTGTAGTCCTGTCCTCGCTAAAATCCTAAGTTGGAGGAGCTGGTGATCCGCCTCTCTGCAATGGTAAGGGAGAAGATCAGGACTGAGCTCAAGGACTTCCAGCCTTATTTCAAAGGAGAAATCTTCCCTGATGTAAAGAAAACCTTTACGGTCCACAAAGGTGGAAGATCATGTTTATGAGATTTATCCATCTGGGAGTGTGGTACAACTTCCTCTGGCCCTGGATGGGAGGATGTTCTGGAAACCTGGAAGGTGAAGGCTTTATCCTCAGGGAGTTTTTGTGGTGGGATCAGGAAAACAGTGCATTCTTCTAGAACACCAAGGAAAGAAGTTAGAGACAAAGGAAACTACTTTCTGTTCTTGAAGCTCCTAGGAAGATCAAGCCAGCGACTTCAGCCTCAGAGAAAAAATGATTGTGTGAAATTGCCTAATGCAGGATAACTAGGGGTACTCAGCAGTGTTCCTGGGAGGTGATGTGTTCCCACTGTGCCCCTGAGGAGTTAGAAACTTGCTTACACTGTGTTCTCAGTGTGGATTATTAACATATTTAATATTGTCTTCTGTTGCCAATAAGGCTAAATTGCCCCCAAAAGAATGCTGACAAAAAACTTGGAAACTGTGCCCCAAAACACAGTAAGTAAAGCAGACAGACAACCTTCAGAATGGGAGAAGATTTTTGCACATTATGCTTCTGACAAAGGTTTGATAACTAGAATCTATAGAGAACTCAAACTAATCAATAAGAAAAGAATAAATGACCCCATTTCTATGTGGGCAGGAGACTTGAACAGAAACGTCTCTGATGAAGACAGGTGCATGGCCTACAAACATATGAAAAAAAGCTCATCATCCTTAATCATCAGAGAAATGCAAATCAAATCCACTTTGAGATATCATCTAACTCCAGTAAGATTAGCCCACATCACAAATTCCCAAAACTACAGATGTTGCCACAGATGCAGAGAGAATGGAACGCTTCTACACTGCTGGTGGGAATGCAAGCTAATACGGCCTTTTTGGAAAGAAGTTTGGAGAACACTCAAGGAACTAAAAATAGACCTACTGTTTGATCCTGCAATTCCTCTACTAGGTATATACCCAGATGATCAAAAATTATTTTACAACAAAGACATTTGTACCAGAATGTTTATTGCAGCCCAATTAATAATAGCCAAGACATGGAAACAGCCTAAGTGCCCATCAAACCATGAATGGATTAACAAATTGTGGTATACGTACACCATGGAATACTATGCAACCATGAAAAAGATGGAGACTGTACATCTTTTATGTTTACCTGGATGGAGCTGGAACATATTCTTCATAGTAAAGTATCCTAAGAATGGAAAAAGAAGTATCCAATGTACTCAATTCTACTATGAAATCAATATGTAACCACATACACAATCATATGAATGGCAAAACATAACTATAGTCTAGAAAGTAGAAGGGAAGGGGAGGGGAAGGGGATATCGGAGAAGGGAGAGTATTTGGAGGGACCTCACCTAATGTGCATGATGCAGTGGTACATTTCAAAACTATTAAGAAATGAGTATAATTGTGATGGATGTGTTACTTAGTTCAATGTAAAAATTTCACATTGTATATCGAAGCAGTACCCTGAACCCCATAAATGCATCATTGTACAAAGTTATGATTTAACAAAAAATAATTT